ATTCATTAGGGCCTTCTTACTTCTAACTCAACGAACTGTATTCTCCGGGTGTGTGTGTGGGGGGTGGGGGTCGCTTGAAACTTTCTCATGGGAGGGAGAGAGGGGGGCACTTTAAAAAAAAATTAGGAGGGGGAATCTGGTTTTAAAGTATATATTTTCTATATACACTTTAAAATTTTTCTGTTTCATCGGGGGAGGGGTGGGGGGGGGGGGGTGAGATGGAGAGGAGATGCCTAAAATATAAAAAAAAAACCTCAGAAATGCTGACTCAACGAACTGTCCCCTGGTCATGAAAAACGACCACCCCCCCACCTCCTTGCCCCCCCCCCCCCCACCCTCACCCCCCCCCCCCCCCCATTCTTTGCGTACAGAGTTTCCTCCAGGCATCTCTTCGAAAATATTTTACCGCCCCCCCCCCCCCCCCCGAACGAAATGAAATTTATATAATTTATATAGAAAATATAATATACTTCAGTGTCCGCCCCGCCCCCGAAGAAAGTTTACCGCCCCCCCCCCCCCCCCGAAATTTTCAAGTGCCCCCCCCCCCCCCCCCCGGAGAAAAAAGCCTGGAAGAAACACTGTTTGCGTAAGTAAAGAATTCTACTGGCGGTACAGATCTAGTTTTAGTTTTTAACTATGAATTAATTTCAACCAATTTTTCACATCCGAATAACGCGATATATCGAAGCCGACTGTTTACAATTTCGCTCCGTTGCCCCAGCAACCATTACACAAGAGGATACCCCTTTTTAGAAAATGAAAAAATTCCACAAAGAACCAGAAATCTTTCATCATCAATGTGCGTTTTTTATGTTTTTAAACCGCTTGTTAATTAAGACGCCGCAGTTTCAAATCTGTACCTCATTAACCAGACATAACACGTCTACGCATGTCAAAATATAAAATCTCCAAACCCTTTGATCAAGTTTTAATAAAATCTCATCATTGTTTCGTTAAATTTAGGGCTGATCTTCCGGGGTTTTTTTTTTTAAACATTTAAACAAAGAATTCAATGAGCTTTGGTGTTGTTGACGTTTTACAAACGAAAAACAGTTTTATTTGTTTTCAATAGTGTTCGTTTCGTAAATACAGAATTCCCTTTTCCCAACTTCTGACATCTATCATAATCCCCCTCAAACCCTCCAACCCCTCCACTCCCTACCAACGGTAAAAGATCAACATTGAGCAGCATTGCCTAAATGTTAAAGGACAACAGTTTTCACCTGAATCCAGAACCAGCACCGGTGCCAGAGAAATTTTTTTTTTGTTTTACCTGCCGGCTTCACTTGCGCTTCCTGCATCGATTAAGGTTGCATTTATACAGTTGCAGTGAGCAGTGACATTTAACTCACGCACGTGAAGATGGGGGGGGGGGGTTGATGCGCGTGCGTTGAAATAGCATCATAGGATAGGGGCGATGGTGGGGGTTGGGTTCCCTTGCGAGTAGGGTCTGCTTGTCGTCATCACCATGCCGACGTCATCAGTCGTCATGGCGATGACGTCAATGTGTTGACGCGAGGGAGGGCTTAGGCAACAGGACGATGTTTGTATGACCTTGGCTGGGGTTCACGTGAGGGTGGGAGGCGGGTGTTTACAACGTGAGTAGGGTTGGTGTGTGGTGTGTGTGGTGTGTGGTGTGTAGTGCTGATATGCACGTGTGTTGTTGTTTTCGAGAGACTAACAATCAAATACACGTACATGCAACCAAAATGAGAAACCACTTACTCTCACACAAATTGCTAACTTTCACAAAAAATCGCTAACTTTCACACTGCTAAATATCACACGAAATATCACACAGATCGCTAACTCCCACACCATAATTGCTAACTCCCACACCATAATTGCTAACTCCCACACCATAATTGCTAACTCCCACACCATAATTGCTAACTCCCACACCATAATTGCTAACTCACACACACAAATCGCTAACTCCCACACACAAATCGCAAACTCCCACACACAAATCGCTAACTCTCACTAACATGCGTTTACAAACCTAAACACACAAATAAATCACGCACTCTCATACTCATTACCCTTCCATCCATACATCAAGAGTGGACACATACACACACACACACACACACACACACACACACACACACACACACACACACACACACACACACACACACACACACACACACACACACACACAAGAAAGTTCGGTAGTAGTGATGACAAACACACACAACCTCCACAAAAAAATACACCTTTGTTCCAAACATAATTCGTTGCGAGCCTAACCCCTACTCCAAACCCAAAACCCCCATACCCCCAACCCGACCATTCACGCTTGAAATACCTTTCTCCCGACTCCTGACGTTACTTGAAGTTTCCAAATTGTTGTCATATCTAGACCATCCGTAAACGTAACGTCTCATAGTTAGTGTAACCAATACATTTCATTAGTACACAATACATTTCATTAGTACATAATACATGTCCTTAGTACACAATACATTTCATTAGTACACAATACACGTTTCATGAGTACACAAGCAATGCTTTGTTAGACCACTTACCTGATGCCCAGTCAATAACAAGACTCCAAGACCCCGTGCTAGACTCACAGACCCCAAATTCTAGACTCCAAGACAGTTCTAATCTCCAAGACCCCAAGACTTAGACTAAGATAGTCCTAGACTCCAAGAAAGTTCTAGACTTCAAGACTCCGTGCTAGACTCCAAGACCCTAAGTTTCTAGACTCCAAGACAGTCCTAGACTCCAAGACAGTCCTAGACTCCAAGACAGTCCTAGACTCCAAGACAGTCCTAGACTCCAAGACCCCTAGACTCCAAGACCCCTAGACTCCAAGACCCCTAGACTCCAAGAAAGTTCTAGACTTCAAGACTCCGTGCTAGACTCCAAGACCCTAAGTTTCTAGACTCCAAGACAGTCATAGACTCCAAGACAGTCCTAGACTTCAAGACCCCTAGACTCCAAGACCCCTAGACTCCAAGACCCCTAGACTCCAAGACAGTCCTAGACTCCAAGACCCCAAGACCCCTAGACTCCAAGACCCCTAGACTCCAAGACCCCTAGACTCCAAGACCCCTAGACTCCAAGACCCCTAGACTCCAAGACCCCTAGACTCCAAGACCCCTAGACTCCAAGACCCGTAGACTCCAAGACCCCTAGATTCCAAGACCCCTAGACTCCAAGACCCCTAGACTCCAAGACAGTCCTAGACTCCAAGACCCCTAGACTCCAAGACCCCTAGACTCCAAGACCCCTAGACTCCAAGACCCCTAGACTCCAAGACCCCTAGACTCCAAGACCCCTAGACTCCAAGACCCCTAGACTCCAAGACCCCTAGACTCCAAGACCCCTAGACTCCAAGACCCCTAGTCTCCAAGACAGTCCTAGACTCCAAGACCCCTAGACTCCAAGACCCCTAGACTCCAAGACCCCTAGACTCCAAGACAGTCCTAGACTCCAAGACCCCTAGACTCCAAGACCCCTAGACTCCAAACCCCTAGACTCCAAGACAGTCCTAGACTCCAAGACAGTCCTAGACTCCAAGACCCCTAGACTCCAAGACCCCTAGACTCCAAGACAGTCCTAGACTCCAAGACCCCTAGACTCCAAGACCCCTAGACTCCAAGACAGTCCTAGACTCCAAGACCCCTAGACTCCAAGACCCCTAGACTCCAAGACCCCTAGACTCCAAGACAGTCCTAGACTCCAAGACAGTCCTAGACTCCAAGACCACTAGACTCCAAGACCCCTAGACTCCAAGACAGTCCTAGACTCCAAGACCCCTAGACTCCAAAACCCCAAGTCCTAGACTTCAAGGCTCCGTACTAGACTCGAAGACTCAAACACGAATACTCTGACCACGATACCGTACACTATTGACCTAAATATAGCACGGTACTCACCACAAAGTAAATGAATTGATCCATGCACGGCAGCCAGTACTCAACTGGCACCCCCGCCCCCGTAAAGAAACTCTTTAAAAATTATCACCCCCCCCCCCCCCCCCAATCCCCATCAACCCAACGCCTTCAACATTTGTCTTGCGAGAGCTGGACCATCATGTAACACATTCAAACTTTCCGACCCCCTAATTTTAACCACGCGACCCCATCCTTTGTTGAACCCGTCGATCGTTAAGATAAGCTATCGCCTGTCTTCTCCACACCCTATGTAGGTACCAGGAAATCCGACCGCCGGAAAAAAAATGATGTTTTTTTTTTTCTGTCAGCACCAAATAGATGATTTCCTGACAGGACGGAATAGATGACCTACCCGAAGACAGATCCACTTTGATCTCCATTTCTCGCGCTTGGAAAACGGAATTCACTTTCTCGCATTTTAGATCTTCATCTTTTTACTATGAGCGTAAATTATTGTTTCCTTATTATCTGAATTTTTTTTCGTTGTTTTCTTTTTTCATGCAACATTTAAAATTTGTTTGTTTCTCTCTACTCACCCCCCCCCCTTTCTTCCCTTCCCCAGCGAATATTTGTAACTCACAAATTTAACTTACAACAATTCAAAAACTGAAATTGTTTAACAAACGAGAGTATTGTTGTGTTTTACAATATTTATGTAAAATGGAATTTAAAGATAAATAATGGAAACACTGGAGACGATGTCAGTCCATTACAAAAGAACTCAGATCTTACTCTCACATTCAGTTCTTAGAAAAATCTAGAACAAAAGCTGTTATTTTGTTTTTGATAATGTTTTTTTTTGTTCTTCTAACACTGTACTTAATCTCTTTAATCGATTTTCTTGTTCTTTTAATGCTGTCTTTTTTCTACTAATGCTGTTATATTTGTCCGTATGCTGTTTTTGCTATGCTAACGATGTTCTTTTTCTCCCAAATTATGTTATTGTTCTCTCACTACTGTTCTTGTTCTTTTTAAAATATGTTTATTCTTCCAATAGTATTAAATTACTGTTCTTTTTCCCTCATAATTCTTTGTAAATTTCCCGAATGCTAGCTCCGATTTTGTCTTTCAAATGCTGTTTATATAAATAAGGTTGTTCCTGCTCCTAATGCCATTCCTACTCCTAATGCCATTCATGCTCCTAATGCTAATCCTTCTCCTAATGCTAATCCTGCTCCTAATGCTATTCCTGCTCCTAATGCTATTCCTACTCCTAATGCTAATCCTGCTCCTAATGCTAATCCTTCTCCTAATGCTAATCCTGCTCCTAATGCTATTCCTGCTCCTAATGCTATTCCTACTCCTAATGCTATTCCTGCTCCTAATGCTAATCCTGCTCCTAATGCTATTCCTGCTCCTAATGCTAATCCTGCTCCTAATGCTAATCCTTCTCCTAATGCTAATCCTGCTCCTAATGCTATTCCTGCTCCTAATGCTATTCCTACTCCTAATGCTATTCCTGCTCCTAATGCTAATCCTGCTCCTAATGCTATTCCTGCTCCTAATGCTAATCCTGCTCCTAAGGCTAATCCTGCTCCTAATGCTATTTCTACTCCTAATGCTATTTCTGCTCCTAATGCTATTCCTGCTCCTAACGATATTCCTAATCCTAATGCTATTCCTGCTCCTAATGCTAATCCTGCTTCTAATGCTATTCCTGCTCCTATTGCTAATCCTGCTCCTAATGCTATTCCTGCTCCTAATGCTATTCCTGCTCCTTATGCTATTCCTGCTCCTAATGCTATTTCCTGATCCTAATGCTATTCCTGCTCCTAATGCTATTCCTGATCCTAATCCTATTCCTGATCCTAATGCTATTCCTGCTCCTAATGCTTTTCCTGCTCCTACTGCTATTCCTGATCCTAATGTTATTCCTGATCCTAATGCTATTCCTGCTCCTAATGCTATTCTGCTCCTAATGCTATTCCTACTCCTAATGCTATTCTGCTCCTAATGCTATTCCTGCTACAGATGCTATTCCTGCTCCTAATGATTTTCCTGCTCCTAATGCTATTCCTGCTCCTAATGCTATTCCTGCTCCTAATGCTAATCCTGCTCCTAATGCTAATCCTGCTCCTAATGCTATTCCTGCTCCTAATGCTATTCCTTCTCCTAATGCTACTCCTGCTCATAATCCTATTCCTAATCCTAAAGCTGTTTCAGTACCACATGCTGTTCCCTTTTCTTACATGCTATATCTTTCTCTAACGAATTCCCGTTCTTTCTATGCCGTACCTGTCCCTCTGTGTTCTTAAGTTCATCATACCCTACCATCTCTGTCAGCACTTTGTAACTGCTGTTATGTGGTGACGTCCCCTTTAACTCTCGATGCACACTACAACTGACGCGGACTAGATCGTGTAGATTGAATAGACTGGGTGTTAATGAACTATAAGCAAAACTGTGGTGTTATGGTGATTGGTAATAGATTAAAGACTGTTATTTCTACAGTAGGTTTTTTTTTTTTTACCTTCAGATAGTTTAACATCTTTTTTAAATAATCAACAAACGCTACGATGTTGAGTTTTGATAATTAGGCGCAGCGCAGTTTGCACATTGTAGGGTTGGTGGGTAAGTCGGGTAATGAGTCTCTTGTCAGCTTACAGCAGTTTGGCCGTGCTGATAGAAGCAAGGGATGTAATTCGTGGCGAGATGAGAACAAGAAAGATGGTCGGATAAGCGTTAAAGATGATACCAAGATAATCGAATGGGATGGCGTGGCTGAGTGGTAGAGCGCTCGACTGCTACTTGAAAGTCTCGAGTTCAATTCTTGGACTCGAATCTGTTAGACATCCCTGAGTTTACCCAGCTGTAATGGGTACCCGACTCACGTTATGGAAAGTAAATGTTAAGTGTTAACCTCATTTTTAAAGTCACAGAAACAGGTGAACTTTACTTCATTTGTCCAATAGACACTAGATTAGAAAAAGGTAACTACTTAACATCTCCACCCTGATGGCACACCGCCTTGAAGTGGTGGGATGGCTTGTGTGCCCCAGCGACCCCCAGAGCTATGCCGGCGGGAGCCTAGTGCTCCTGGCAGGAAAAGTTCGGCCATCTCCATTACCACAAAAATTAGGATATTTGACTCTAATGTCAAGGCAGTTCTGCTGTATGGAGCAGAGACACGGAGAGTCTCCAAAGCAAGCACAGCAAAGATACAGACCTTCATGAATAGATGCCTTAGACAGATACTGAAACTGAGATGGCAGGACAAAGTGCCGAACTTGGAACTATGGAGGAAAGCTAGGCAGGAGCCTATAGGTGTGCAAATAAGAAGGAGGAAGTGGCGCTGGGTGGGTCACACACTGCGAAAGGCTCACACAAATGTTACACGCCAAGCGCTTGAGTGGAACCCCCAGGGAAAGCGGAAGAGAGGGCGCCCAAGACAGACCTGGAGGCGGAGTCTTCTCGAAGAACTGAAGCCAACAGGGTTGTCTTGGGAGATGTCCGAGGATAGGAAGAAATGGAAGGAAATGGTTGAGGCCCTATGCTCCTTAAGGAGCAGAGGACTAAGTCAAAGACTTAACATCTGGTTCAATAGCATCATTATGCAGCAATCATCTACAAACACCATGATGTTGAGTTTTGCAAGGAGTCGGCGAGGTCAAGGAGGTAAAGCTCATGGCTGCTAAAAACTTCCAAGTTCGAACCCCCGGGAAGATGAGGCTCGATAGCTGGGGCTAGCAGCAACCCATCAAGACAGAAAACTAAACACCAGTATTTCCTCCAGACTTTTTTTTCCGGGGGGGGGGGGGGGGGGGGCGGAGGACAACATTTTCCGGGGGGGGGGGGCGGACACTGGTAAAAGTATATATGTTCTATATAAATTCCATTTCGTTCCGGGGGGCTGTAGACTTTCTCCGAGGGGGGGGGGAGATGCCTGACATTGGCGATGGAAGCAAATCCAAAAAGAAAAGCAGGCTGATATCGGAGTCAATATAGCGCATGATAGGTTGACACGTAATAGGTAATTGTTTTGGAGGAAATCCCGTCCAACATTACGAGTAAGAACGAAGTAGAAGAAGAAGAAAAGAAGTGCGTAAATTGTAACAGGGTTGGTGGGTAAGTGGGGTAATTAGCCCCGGGTCTGTTGTCAGCTTACAGTTGTTTGCATGTGTTGACTGAGACAAGGGAAGCAACTCTTGCAACTCCAGTCTAGGGGATGGAAGAAAGATTGTCTGAACAGCGTGATGATATTAAGATAAGCGTGGGATAAGTGTAAAGTGATGATATTAAGATAAGGGTGGGATAAGTGTAAAGTGATGATATTAAGATAAGCGTGGGATAAGTGTAAAGTGATGATATTAAGATAAGGGTGGGATAAGTGTAAAGAGATGATATTAAGATAAGGGTGGGATAAGTGTAAAGAGATGATATTAAGATAAGGGTGGGATAAGTGTAAAGAGATGATATTAAGATAAGGGTGGGATAAGTGTAAAGAGATGATATTAAGATAAGGGTGGGATAAGTGTAAAGAGATGATATTAAGATAAGGGTGGGATAAGTGTAAAGAGATGATAATAAGATAAGGGTGGGATAAGTGTAAAGAGATGATATTAAGATAAGGGTGGGATAAGTGTAAAGTGATGATATTAAGATAAGCGTGGGATAAGTGTAAAGAGATGATACTAAGATAAAGGTGGGATAAGTGTAAAGAGATGATATTAAGAGAAGGGTGGGATAAGTGTAAAGAGATGATATTAAGATAAGGGTGGGATAAGTGTAAAGAGATGATACTAAGATAAGGGTGGGATAAGTGTTAAGAGATGATATTAAGAGAAGGGTGGGATAAGTGTAAAGAGATGATACTAAGATAAGGGTGGGATAAGTGTAAAGAGATGATATTAAGATAAGCGTGGGATAAGTGTAAAGAGGTGATAGTAAGATATGGGTGGGATAAGTGTAAAGAGATGATACTAAGATAAGGGTGGGATAAGTGTAAAGAGATGATACTAAGATAAGGGTGGGATAAGTGTTAAGAGATGATATTAAGATAAGGGTGGGATAAGTGTAAAGAGATGATACTAAGATAAGGGTGGGATAAGTGTAAAGAGATGATATTAAGATAAGGGTGGGATAAGTGTAAAGAGATGATATTAAGATAAGGGTGGGATAAGTGTAAAGAGATGATACTAAGATAAGGGTGGGATAAGTGTAAAGAGATGATACTAAGATAAGGGTGGGATAAGTGTAAAGAGATGATATTAAGATAAGGGTGGGATAAGTGTAAAGAGATGATACTAAGATAAGGGTGGGATAAGTGTAAAGAGATGATACTAAGATAAGGGTGGGATAAGTGTAAAGAGATAATAATGGTAGGATAAGTGTAGGAGATGATACTAAGATAAGGGTGGGATAAGTGTAAAGAGATGATACTAAGATAAGGGTGGGATAAGTGTAAAGAGATGATACTAAGATAAGGGTGGGATAAGTGTAAAGAGATGATACTAAGATAAGGGTGGGATAAGTGTAAAGAGATGATATTAAGATAAGGGTGGGATAAGTGTAAAGAGATGATACTAAGATAAAGGTGGGATAAGTGTAAAGAGATGATATTAAGATAAGGGTGGGATAAGTGTAAAGAGATGATACTAAGATAAGTGTGGGATAAGTGTAAAGAGATGATACTAAGATAAAGGTGGGATAAGTGTAAAGAGATGATATTAAGATAAGGGTGGGATAAGTGTAAAGAGATGATACTAAGATAAGTGTGGGATAAGTGTAAAGAGATGATATTAAGATAAGGGTGGGATAAGTGTAAAGAGATGATATTAAGATAAGGGTGGGATAAGTGTAAAGAGATGATACTAAGATAAGTGTGGGATAAGTGTAAAGTGATGATACTAAGATAAGGGTGGGATAAGTGTAAAGTGATGATACTAAGATAAGGGTGGGATAAGTGTAAAGAGATGATACTAAGATAAGGGTGGGATAAGTGTAAAGTGATGATACTAAGATAAGGGTGGGATAAGTGTAAAGTGATGATACTAAGATAAGGGTGGGATAAGTGTAAAGAGATGATACTAAGATAAGCGTGGGATAAGTGTAAAGAGATGATAATGGTAGGATAAACGTAAAGAGATGATAATGGTAGGATAACTGTAAGGAAATGATAATGGTAGGATAAGTGTAAAGAGATGATACCCAGATAATGTTAGGATAAGTATAAAGAGATGATAATGGTAGGATAAGTGTAAAGAGATGATAATGGTAGGATAAGTGTAAAGAGAAGATAGTGCTAGGATAAGCCTAAAGCCTAAAGATATGATCGTCGGATAAATGTTTAAAGTTTATACTAAGATACTGGTCGGTTAGGTCTTTGGAGTTGATACCAATATAATGGTCGGATATATGTTTACAATGAATAAATGCTTTAGGCTGTTATTCATATAATTTATTTACTCCATTGAGTATTTGGATGTGGCGGTCGATGATGGTTGATGGTGATGTTTAGAGGTCTCTGTGTAGTCTATTATGGTCTGTGGTGGTCTATGTGTGGTCTATTATGGTATGTGGTGGTCTATGTGTGGTCTATTATGGTATGTGGTGGTCTATGTGTGGTCTATTATGGTCTGTGGTGGTCTATGTGTAGTCTATTATGGTATGTGGTGGTCTATGTGTGGTCTATTATGGTCTGTGGTGGTCTATGTGTGGTCTATTATGGTATGTGGTGGTCTATGTGTGGTCTATTATGGTCTGTGGTGGTCTATGTGTAGTCTATTATGGTATGTGGTGGTCTATGTGTGGTC